TTTGAACCCAAATTCAAAGACACAAACCAAAGCAAAAATAAAATTAAAGACTTTGTTACAAATTCCTCAATGTTTATGCCAACCTCTTGAAAATAGATAGTCATAGAACTCATATTCAAGGATTAGAAACAGAAACAACCCTAAAAACCAACAAAACCCACCATGATATTGAGAGACTATGGAAGACTAAAAGAGTAGAATGCAAAGTGGAGACATACGTACGATAGTGATTGTGTTAGTAATCGACTCATCTTTCCTTCTCACCAACTGCCCCTGCCTCTGTTGATCTTCATCCTGATATTGGTTGAGTTCTATGGATCCACATTTGATGTGGAACTTTACATGCATGAGAAAGGAAACTTGTTTGGTCTGAGAGAAAGAAAAAGTATAGAAAACACAAAATTAGGGATATCATAACAACAGCTCTAATATGTTGTTCCTTATCCCATAGAGCTCATATTTAAGGATTATAAACAAAAACAACCCTAAAAACCAAAAAAAGAAAAAAAAAAAACCCACCATGATATTGAGAGACTATGAAAGACTAAAAGAGTAGAATGCAGAGTGGAGACATACCTACGATGGTGACCGTATTAGTAATTAGCCCATCTTTCCTTCTCACCAACTGCCCCTGCCTCTTTTGATCTTCATCTTGATATTGGTTGGGTTCTCTGGATCCACATTTGATGTGAAACTTTACATGCATGAGAAAGGAAACTTGTTTAGTCTGAGGGAAAGAAAAGTATAGAAGATACAAAATTAGGTATATCAAAACAACAACTCTAATATGTTGTTCCTCATCCCATAAGCCTCCTATTATCATCCAATCTATTCACAACACTAATTCTCTCTCAAACGAAAGGTAGAGAGAGATATGAACCTTATAGAACTAAGCTCAATTGAATTAAAATAACAAAATTAACATCAACAAAACAGAATTAAGAGTCATTGATCAATGCAATCTTTGTTAGTTAATATGATAAAATAAGTATAAAAATCCAAGAAAATAAGAAAGGGAAGATACTAATCTACCCACTTCCTTCTTTTCTCTTCGATCAACCCCCTTCTTCTGTTTCTCCCTTTCTTGCTGGCAACAAGAAAGGAAATGTGAGGGAAATCTAAAGAATTAGAAAGTTGAGTTCTGATTCATTTCTATCTCTCTTCACTATCTTCTTCTTCCTTTCTCTCACCTCATTACCCAACCTTTTCCATTCTCTTACATACACTCTTTTTCTCACTCTCAATTCATTTTCCACTTTTTCCTTAAAAGGGATATGGAAGAAGTTGTAATAGCGTGTGTAATTTTTGTTGCATTGGGGGCAATTAATCAAATCAAAATAGTTAATGGGATGAAGCCTTCCTGTCGAAAAATTCGATTGTATCCCAAGGATACCGCTGATGTGGTATCCTCGACCAATAACAACGTGCCAAGTCATCATTTTTACTATTGAGTGAGTTGACATGGCTAAGAGGTGGAGAATTTTTTTGATGATGTGACACACTGTGATTGGTTAGAGATACCACATTAGCGGTATCCCTGGGATGCAATAGACTTTCTCCTTCCTATCATAGTTGCTATAGTACTCTCCCCCATCTCACAATGTTTTTTCTTTCACTTTTGCCCTCCAATATTTCTTTCTCCCTTTCATCTATTAGGAATGGCATCTTGGTCATTTTGCTACCAAAATAATTTATCGGTTGTTCACAAAGATTGTTTTCTTGGTTTGCCCTTGGTGCTTTGTGTCTCCTTTCTCATTTGGAATATGGCTTTTAGGTCTTTTTGCTTTCTTGTGTTTTTGTAGTGTTTACGCTGATCGACTTTCTTTTCGACAAATACCTACTTTTAGTCTTTTACCTTAATAAATTTGTAGGTTTTATCCCCTCATCTTATACTATAACACTTTTAATCCCTCACCTATATGAATTAAAGAAAATAACCCTCATTTAACGTCTTATTAGTTGACTGTTAGTTCTGTTAGCTAATTGTTAACATTCCACTATAGAAAACATGAAATTTAAATTCAATTTTATTTATTGGTTCCATTAACGGAATGCTAATAATCAGCTAACATAGAAAACATGAAATTTAAATTCAATTTTATTTGTTGATTTCATTAACGGAATGCTAATAATCAGCTAACATAGTTAACAATTAACTAACAGAACTAATAATTAACTAACAAAACTAACAATCAACTTACAAAACTAACAAAACGTTATAAGCTAAAGTTAAATAAAGGTTATTTTCTTCAATTTGTATAGGTGAGGGGCTAAAAGTATCATAGTATAAGATAATGGGTTAAAACTTACAACTTTATTAAGATAAATGGTTAAAAGTAGGTTTTTGCCCTTTCTCTTTTATGTTTGATTCAATCTTCTAAAATTTGGCCTTTGGTCATCGATGATTCCCAAATCCCTTGTGCAACATGAAAAGCCTAGATTTATTTCCTCTCATCAACATCTTTTCCACTAAAGGTCAGACCCAAATGCCCTTCATTTGCACATCGAGAAGAGAAGTTGAGGTGAGAACGTTAAGAATGTTAGGGATTTAAGGTCAAAATAGTTAAGCAACATCTACAAAGATGAGTATAGCCAGAGCATTTTTGCTTTTTCTGTTTTCTTCTGGCTAGATTTTGTTGTTTGTTTACTAGTGTTATACGGGCAAGATCATTTTTATGGCTATCTTAGATTTTCCTCTTAGTTCTACTTGAATTATCCAACTTTCATTGAATTTAATCCAATTCTATAACTTCAGATATACTAAATTTGTTTTCTATCGAAGAATTTTCCATCCAAATATGGTTTAAATTTAGGATATGATAGTCTTCTCTATGTTGGGGTTTTTTTTCAAAATATAAAGGATGCCAACAACGGGAGGCCTAATGCTCCTAATGGAGAGCCCACCATGGACACAGTTGATTGGAGAACCCAATTACAGCCTGATTTGTGGCAAAGAATTGTCAACAAGATGTAAGTTAAATTGTTTTGCGTAAAGTGAAGTGATTATAGATTGCTTAATCTGTCTTTCTAAAGGTTAAGCTTATTACCTTGAGGGGAACCTTAATATCTATTCCCAAGTTTAGGAAAATGATGTATACATACTTTGTTATTACACCCTCCGTCACACGCTCACTCGTCTCTGTTTCTCTTCATTTCTCCCCATTTCTTCTCGTTTCTTTGCTAACCCAGCAGTTCTCCTTTTCACCCAGCACAGCTTTCCTCTTCACCTAGGTTCTTTGATTTTCAACCTTCTTCCTTCTTTCCCCTCTTTCTTCTTTTCCTCTCCTCCCCTCTTCTTCCTTCTCTTCCTCCCTCCTAGTTGCAGAACCCAGATGCAAGAACCCAAATCGTGTTTTGCTAGGTTCTTGCAGAAAGAACCCAGATCCGGTTGCAACAGAACCCAGATGCAAGAACCCAGATCGGGTTTTGTTGAAGGGCCAAGGTGGCAAAAGAGGAAGGGAAGGAGCAGGAACTTGCGCCGTTGGGTGTCTTCAGAGTTAACAGATTAACTAACAGAGTGAGAGTGTGCAACGGAGGGTGAGGAATTGCGGTGTGTGCCAATCATTGTCCCTCAGTTTATTGTTTGTTGTGCAATTAAATCTATAAGAGAGCTGTGCACCAAAAAAAAAAAAAAGAATCTGTAACGTTTTCTTTAACTTCCTTAAGCATCTAATTATTTCCTTTGTGGTTTTTATTTTGCAGGATTGTTAATTTAAGCTCTTCACATTTTAAGTCATCAAAGTATGAATTTGTGATAAAATCAAGTCACAAGTTTT